TGAATGTTAATTGAGATCAGTGTCCTATCTGAATTTAATATTCTTAAGACTTGTTGTCTAACATTTATGAAACTGAGAGCTTTGGCACCACTATAATATCTCCTGAAGAAGATCCATTTTTCGAAACGTTGTTAAGTAATCCGGAGACGACGTTGATTATGTACCTTGGTTCAAGGATTTTCAATTGATTTGTGTATCATGTTGGTAGTGCTTTAGATTGCAATACATAAACAGCATTCTTTATCAGTCTTTTGACTGTTTGATTGTGGGTCAGACTATCACGACTGTTGGCTTTATACTTGTTTAACTTATGGAATGATCAGCCATATCCCTATCTAGGTAGTATCAACTATGGCAAAATCCCTTCCAACCCATGCACAAAATTACCCACGGCATCCTAATCCCCCCCTTTTAAAATTAAATTAGAAATAAGAAAACACATATCATCCCAGTTGTAGTGTGGCACGGGAGGATTAGAGCAGCAAAGAAAAAGTGTGCCACTTATGCGTGATCAAACTACTTTTGGATGAAAAGTCTGAAATAAAATACTTTATTGTTGCACAAGCGCACGCTAGGAAACAAAAGCACAGTCCTAATAGAAGAAAACCAAAATGCTTTGTTTTGTTTTGTTTTAAAAAAAGGATTTACGAATAAAACTTGACAGCTAAAAGCAAAATAAAAACTCAACACTAAAAACAAAACAAAAAAGTAAACATGATTTTGATCAGACTTCGGTCATTCGTTTGCACGAATCTGGGTGGTTTTCATAAACCAAGATATCTGTTTGCTTCTGTAGCCACTGCTTATTTCCTTAGGTCTTCCACCTCCTCTGGTTCTCTTTCCTGATGTTCTCTTTCCCATCTCATTTCTTTAAGCTCTTGCCTATACTTCCGTTCGATGAACCGCTTCTGATGGGCCATCTGAGGAAAGTTGTCTGAGACAAGGAGAAACAGAGCGAGTATTAAACAAAGACCAGTCAGGGATACAAAAAGTGATGTTATTTTATTACAAAAGCGAAGGGAAAGCATGTAATAATCATCGCATGCATCGCTCGACCTTTCTTCTTGAGCGTCTGGCCCACCAAAGCATTCCATTTTATCATTCCTCAAAACGACCCTCTGAGGCAGGTCACCCAGAGGAAGATTTGCCCCTGCATGACCAAAGATCTCCAAGGAGCTAGTTTGGTGTAGCGGTTAGGAGCGCGGACTCTAATCTGGGACAACTGGGTTTGATTCCCCACTCCTCCACTTGCAGCTGCTGGATGACCTTGGGCAAGCCATAGTTCTGTCAGAGCTGTTCTCTCAAGGACAATTCTGGAAAGAGCTCTCTCAGCCCCACCTACCTCACAGGGTGTCTGTTGTGGGGAGGGGAAGGGAAAGGAGTGTGTAAACTGCTCTGAGACTCTGAGTGAAGGGCGGGGTATAAATCCAATCTCTTCTTCCTCTTTTTCTTCCTCCATCACTGTCACTAATCAAAGGGATCCCTTTATATGCTTTTGGAAGGTTGCTGCATTTGTTTCCACTCAGCAAGACTATCTTCTATGCTTGACACACTTGCTGACTCATCCTAAGACATGCCGTACTGGAACGTTCACAAGGGGATATTGTATCAGCTGGTCTTTTTGAGATGGGACATTTTGCTTACCTTGTGGTGACATTATGCCAACAATGCCAGATAACAGATATTGCATGCATCTAAAAATCAGGGGGTGAGAACTGCTTACAGTAAATAGAAGAATAACGATGGGGCAAACCAGAGACAATACTTATTATATCAAGACTGACCAAGAGCAGTGGTATTATTTGGAGAAACACTCAGGAACAAATCGCCACCTAACTAGCTGATCCATTTAAAAATACTGGCCTGAATCCAACTAGCGTCAGTGGTGCTGAAGTCCTATTGAAATGAATCGGCCTCATTAACCATGACTTCTCCCACTGATTTCAATGAGGCATCTGTACAATTACCTTGTGTTTTCTTTGCATCCTCATCAGAGAGCATTTTTTGCACCGCTACGGCCATGACACAACGTAAGGGAGCTGATATGCCTTGTTCGGCATTCATTATAAATGGAACTGACTGATGGTTTAGGAGTTTCTTTTAAAATGTATATGTGGAGACACATTAGCTTGCAGCAACAGCTGTCATTATTTCACCAGTACTTGGATTCTTTGGGGCTTTGTTGGCAGAAAACTTAACATATTCTAGGTATTATTTGAGAATCGTAAATCATTCTTCCCAGTCTGATTAACAGTGCAACCCTAAATGGAATTACAGCCATCTATAGATTGCAGTGGACTCAGAAGGGTGTACCTCTGTTAGGACTGTATTGTAAATTCCTTCTT